AGCAGGAAAAAGGATTATAAATGATAACAGTGGGATAGTCATCTGAAGAATAATAAATTGGACTCCTCCTTCACACTTAAGAGCAAAATAGAATGTACCACATTCTTATTTGCATTTCTCCCATCATGTGTGTACCTGTCTTAGTCATGAACCTCACTGAGTCTCAGCTTCCTCATTTAAAAATTTTTTATATGCTGTTCTTTTCACCGGTAAGTCCATACTCATGTATCTGCTCCAAGATCCTGTGGGTCATTTGTTACCAAGTTGAACAGGATATATACGAAGGCCAAATACACTAAACTCATAATATACCCAATAAGGTTGTGTCAACATATGTACGGCCAAATTGTAGCACCTGCTCCTAATGTTGCTGTGAAGGTACAGTGCTCTCTCCAGCTGGGACCAGGAATCTTTGGTCAAACACCTGGTCAAGCTGGATAGGGTTCACTCTTCAGGGTCAATACACCTCCCTCAGCAAAGGAACTGGCACTACAGTTGCAAAGCTATTTCTCCCATGAGAGGTCCACTTGTTTCAATGTCTTTCAATCATAGGAATGCACTGGACTGATGAGTAGATAGGAATGGAGCTAGGTTCCATTGCAACTTCCTTGGAATTCTGTCTGGCTATGCAACTTCCTTGGAATTCTGTCTGACTATAGAGCTATAAGGCACATAAGTTCTCTATAAAACACAGGTCCTGGTGGATTCTAGACTTTGGGACAATTTTACTGGCTGCTAAGAAACATCTACAAGTAAGGGAGGATTCCTCTCATGTGCTCTTCTTGCTATAATTGATATTGCATGCATCTGGCCAGAGCCAAGACAACCTGGGGTCCTCGGTAGAATTCTTCACAAGGTGCAGCACATACATAACACACTCTGTTACTTGAGTTAGCTAAGAGGGATGCAGCTTTTCAGGAAGGTATTCTCAGAGTTAGAAGCCAACCCGTTGCCTTAATGATGACTCAATTGTTTCCATTTAGCAATTTGGATTTTCTTCCACAGTCATTTCACTGTGCTTGGTAAGTTGATGTTCTGTGCTTGGTTTTCACTTTCAGAATTTGATCTCAGCATTATCAGGATCTGATGACATCATGTAGGCAAACTTTCTTGTATTGACATGTTTTAGTTCGGGCTGGCTGAGAGGTAATGCCAAAATTCTGAGTTCCATGGGAATAGAGCCAAGAGACATTTGGCTTCTTAGAGTGGTGTCTGTGGGAGCGGATCTAGGAAAGTCTTGGGAAGAATCTATGGCCAAAACCACATAAAGTTTTGTTTGGAATAAGATCCTTCATAAGACGTTAGGAAAAAAATACAATATTCATAGGACAAGTTTTCTTCATAGAATAATCTTTGAATAATTATAAAACAAATTAAAGGAATGAATTAGTGGGCTAATCTCTTTGTATTTTAGTTTAAAATTACCTTTAATATTAATTGAATGAAATAACTGTTGGCCCTTATCAATAAAAATTTCCAACAGATCTCCTTAGAATCAAAATCTAGGAATACATTTTAACTTATTACAAGTTAATTCTAATGAATTCTGTCTTAGCTATAGTGCATATGTGGAACTAATAAAAGAATATTTTATTAAAAACAGTTTTTAAAGAAAAACTATTTGAGTGTACATGTTTAATAGATGTACCACTTTTATTATTAACAAGAAATAATAGCATTATACTATTAAAAATTTATCCTTTTTACAGTAATTCAAAACTGAAATCAATGAAAGCTAAGCACGTGTGTTTTTCATGCCTCAATGCGAGCTGTCCATTGCCGTAGGAAGAATGTTAGTGTAGAGTTAAGCTTGACATAATTTTATAAATCATACTACTAAGGTGTTTGTCATTATTGCATAAGGGACAAAAATGTTATGGAAAAATGTATGTCAAAAAAGCTATGCATATATTTCAATATTTTTCACACGAAATGGAACACGTCAATTTCAGTTTTCCATGAAATTTTTGAAGTCTCCTCATACATACATCATATGCTTGTTAGAGAAATTGGATAACCTCATATGTAAAATCTTACATTCAAGAACATCCTGGGGGCCAGATGATATAACTGGACGCACATGGGAAAAGTCCTGGGTTCACAGCCTACAACCTCCCTAGGCATACCAGGCACACACGTGCCCTGGTCTAGGCCAGGCAGATCATAGCTGGAAGACCGCATTGAGAGTGCCTCTCTCTCTTTGTCATGGAAGAGATAAATAATAATAAACCTTTTAATTTTCTTTTTTAAAAAGAACGTTCTGTGTTTCTTGATAAGATATGATACTGATTGAGGTATTTTGATATGTAACCTTGCAGAATATATTTAAATATCCCTTCTAGTGATTTAAGTGTCAGTAAAGATCATCTTCCTGTAAACCATGCATACTATCTAATGAAAATGTATTCTTTTCCAAAAGACTTCCTCTGGAAAATGCCACCTTGACATGAGTGACTGTACTTAGTGCCATTTTGTATTGCTTGATTACCTACTCAGGGAGGATCAAAATGAGTAGTGTTTACTTTGATAATAGTTTGCAGTATATAAACTGGAACCGAATGATCGTGCAATGAAATTTCAACAATGCCACATGCTTGGTAAATCATGCCTTGCATATCATTGTCTATGGCTTAGTTTCTTATTATGTTATTGGTAGTATTTATGTGTTTCATTTTAAAAAGTGATCATTTGAATTTTTCATCATATTACTTATTGACATTTAAGTAGTATTAGAATGAATGATAAACAAGTGTAAATAAAATACTTGCGGTTAGGCTATTTATTATGTAATTACTATACAAATATAAATGACTAACATTACATTTATAAGTTATTTAGGATTCATAACATGATGGCATTTTCATCTCCTCCCTTATTAAACAAAGTCACTGCTTTATACCTAAGTTACTAAACTGATGTGGATGTAGAGGAATAATTGCTTCAAAATATTTATGTGTGGTTTTACACTTAAATATTTCCAGGTGCTTTATAATTATTTTGCTATTCAGTTTAAAAATTGGTAGCCCCCCAAACTCAGATAAATATGCCAGCATCATTAAATGCTAGGAAAGAGACATCGCTTTCCTGTGTCCCTGTGGCTTCAGTAGAACTTGTAACTCTAGGACCATAAACCCTTGCCAACTGCAATGCATTTGGAAATTGAACCTATGATAACATATAAATAGTTTTTAGGTCAAGATAAAGAGAAATGAAACAGATATAACTAGCTTTTGCTTTTGTATGTATAAAGCAACTTGGCCAGGGCCAATTTAACAGGAATTTCACTCAGGAACTGCCATAGCAGACCTAAAATACCTAAATCAAACTTGTATGCTAAATCATTAGACTTTCATAATAAAATGAAAAGCAAAAATCCAGAATTAATCATTATAACATAAACTGCTGTCTTTCAAAAAAATGTGAAAACACTTTAATATAGTTTATATTGTTTTTATACATTAGATGTAAGAAATCATTTCACTACTCATTAAGTACAAGGCATTTGATTAACAAAATTCCGATTTACAAAATAAGTGAATGAAGAAATATATTCATTATCAAATTACAAAATAAAAGTAACAGTTCTTGTTGAGATATCATCAGTTTATTATTCTTCAGTTCAGATTATGTAGTTAACAATTTTCGATATGCTTAATAATAAGTATTAAAATAATGGAACGTTGAGATTTGAATACAATGACAGTAAACCACTGATATTTCACATTCCCATTATACAGCCATCGTGAATCCGTAAGTGAATGTTAGTAATGTAAAAAAATATAAAATGATTGTAATAGAACCATTTAACCATTAGCATATGAAGTTTTCAGAACACTTATCTGCTAATTTGTTCTGAAATAAAAGCAATTGCTTTTCTGTGATGCATGACATATCTTTGTGCCTTAATACTTAATTTGAAATGTCCTTAGTGTAAAAATATACCAAAGTAAATAAAAAAGGAGACACTTATTTACAAAACAATATTGTATACATATTATATAAATGCAATTGTTTCAAAGTCTTTTTATACAATATTGATAGAATCAGTCCTTTCCATTATTTCATCATAAAAACTGTAGTGTTATAAAGGCAGGCTGTAATTTTGAAATTTTGGTAATAAGGAGTATTATTTGGCTGCCTTTTAAGGTAATGCAGTTTCTCCAAGTATGCTACAGAATTGAAAGCTGACTGCTAGGAAAATGATTGTTCTTTAATTAAAGAAAATCCATTCCCATTTGGAGATGTATGAAAATGCACCAGAAGAAAGGAGAAACTTACTATTTTACTGAATGATTTTTATTTGATAAACCTGATACCATCAGGCATTCAGCCTATTGTATTAGCACCATTGGCCTGGATTGTAAATATATTCTACCAATCACAACAGGAATGGAAACTTGCATATGGTGCACCATCCCTGCTTTTGTGGAATTTTATCTTACCAAGTATGCTATCATACAATATAAATTCAAGTGTTCAAGGATGATTCAAAGGATGGTATATAACAATCCTGCATTTTACCCATACTATATATAGATTTTTCTATAAATATCAAACAAAACCGTAAAGAAATAGACTTTAAAGCATATTTCTTTCATTTACCAGAACACAAGGAGAATTGCTCTCATATCTTTGCCTACGTTGTGATATATGAACATAATGTAATTTGATCTCCTTCTAGTTCAAAACACTAGAAATCATCAGACTTTTTATCGCATGATTTATTTTGGTGGTTAAATGCCAACCATTGCTTATATTCTCTCTTTTAGACATACTGTAGCTTGTGCTTAAGTGACTGTAGCATACTCTAGGCCTATCGCCTATGGTATATAATTTCACAGTTTCAAAATTGTTGAGGGGAAGACCTTCCATATTTTAGGAAGTTATGAACTTAATATAAATCTCATGAGCACCCACAGCGATCTACTACCATGGCTGGAATTTTCCCATATATTATTTGTTCTTTGCCATTAAAATATAGCATATTAATTGGAGACATCTTTGTGGGAGTACAGCAAGGGCCTGCTG